ACTCCTCGCTCAGCATCACTGTCGAAAGATCCCCAAGTTTCTTCTTGTTGGTGAGGAGGTCCTTCATGAATTTGGCATACTTGGGCATCTTTGACAGTGCCTCCACGAACGGCATGCTGATGTTGACCTACTTCAACATTGCCATGAACTTGGCAAACTCAGTCTCCAGCTTGTCTTTATGCAGGCGAGTGGGGAAAGGGAGCTGAGGTACATGCTCCTTAACCACTGGCTGTGGCTTGGGAGCAGGCGTTGTTGTGTCTTCCCCCACTTCTGTAGTATCAGCTGGAAATGTTGAAGCAGGTAGTGGCTCATCTCGACTGGGCTGGACAGGAGCAGCTGATGTGGTCTTGCCGCTCCTGGTAGTGATGGCATCAAGCTGCAGAAGCTGGTTAGGATCACGAGGATTCGGGACAGTGGTGGAGGCAAAGTCCCCGGTGCCCTGGTGGTGTTCTGGCGGGCCAAGATACCCACCTGGTTCTGCAGATCTTGTAAGATGGCACCCTGGTTCCTCTGACCTGCCTCCAGTGACTTGATAGCTGCCTGAGTGCTAGTCATGAATGAAGCCAGAATATTTTCCAGCTTCGTCATCTGAGTATCTGGAACTGGGGCTGCTGGAATGGTTGCCCCTGCCTAGGCTGGTAGGGTTGCTGCTGTGGTTGCCCCTGCCTAGGCTGGTAGGGCTGCTGCTGTGGAACTGGGCCCTGTCGAGCCTGATATGGCTGCCTCTGCTGAAAGCCACCAGCTGGTGCTGGGAAACCAGGTGGCTTAGTGGTGTTGCTGCCCCAAGAGAAGTTGGGTTGCTGGCGCCACCCCTCATTATATGTGTTGATGTACGGGTCGAGGCGCTGAGCATTGGCAATGAAGTCCAACTGCTCTTGGGGAGTAGTAGACTCCCTCATAGCCTGGCAGTCTTCCACTAAGTGATTCGAGCTCTCACACCACTGACACTGAGCAGCTGGAGGTGTAGCCATACCTCTGCCCGGAATAAGACTGTTGGGCTGCTTCAATGTCTGCACTAGCTCAGCTACCTGCTGCTCGAGTCCGGATCTGGACTCCATGGCGTGCACACCACGGTCCCGGGAATGTCTGCCTCGGCTGCTCTGCCCCCAAGAATGATCTCTGGCAGCCAAAGTATTAATCATCTGGTTCAGCTCGGGTGGAGTCTTAGTGAGAACATCCCCTCCTGGGCATAAAGACTCAATCACCCTCTAGCTATCTAGGGAGAGAGCACTGTAGAAGTTCCCCACTGTGAATGCATCACTAAAGCCATGATGGGGACACTGCCAGAAGTATCCCATGTACCGCTCCCAAGCATCACGAAGTGACTCATCTGGCTCTTGGCGGAAGTGAGTGATCTCCCGCTGGATCTCTGTAGTCTTCGATGCTGGATAGTACCTGTGCACGAATTTGTCAGCCAGATCGTCCCAAGAGGTGATGGACAATGGGGGCTGGGTCTCCAACCACCTCTTAGAATTACCCGCCAGAGAATGGGGGAAGAGATGAAGGCGGATTGCATCATCCGGGACACCATTCAGCTTGAACCCGTTCGTCAGCTGCAGAAAACGGGACAGATGTACCCTGGCCTCCTCATCCTTCAAGCCATGAAACTGGATAGAGGATGTGATGAGCTGAATCCAGCATGGCTTGATCTCGAAGTTGTTTGCTGGAATAGGCGGGTAGAGGATGACCGGGCGGATGTCAGCAATCCGAGGAGTGCAGTAGTACTCCAAGGTGGGACCCGGCTGCGGTGGATGATGAACTCCATGATCCTGTGGTATGGGGTTGTTCCCCAGGACCTGATTCACCGGGGGAGCCTGCTGAGGATTCCCCTGGTGCAGATTGTAGTCTCCGTCCATCCCGTACTCTTCTTCAGAATCGCTACTCAAGTGGCCGTCTAGGCGCTCTTCCGTAGCCAGTCTAGCTCGCTGTTGTCTCCTGAATTGGCGACAGGTGCGTTCAATCTCTGGATTCAACGGCAGTAAACCTCCCGACTGGCTATGGGTCATGCACTACCTGCACACACTCAAGCAAGCAAACCCGTGAAGGCGCAAGTGGGACAAAGCAAACAAAGCAAAAAGAAAAGCTAAATTAACAGAAATCACTTTTCTTCAACAACCTAGCCGTCCCCGGCAACGGCGCCAAAAACTTGACTCACTTCTACTGTCACCCTAGGAATTGGCCAAGTGAAACCTCTTCCTAAAGCGTAGTATAGTGGGTTTAGGTTTAATTATCAACCCGGGTCCTAGATTTGATGACTACTCAGTGAATTCTTGTTATCTAGCAATGAAACTAGAATGCAAGTCTAAACTACCAAACAAACAAAGCAAGTAAACGGTTGTATTCAAGTTAAGAGAGGTCACCCGGATATGGTTCCCCCTAGACTGCAGTTAAGCCGGATTGCAATTACCAAGTTCAGTTTCTATGAAAGTTATACTGCGGAAGGTTCTTAAACAGCCTGAAGTCTCGACTAAAGGTCTTCAGACCCTCTCAATCTGAGTCTCTAGCGGGCGACTAACCTCCACCGGAGTAAACATATTGAGGCCTTAACAAACAAAACCTCCACTACCGGAGTGAATCCGGTACAGAATAGTGAGTTGGTTCCTCGACTAAAGTCACCAACTCCCTATCTTCAATCAAGGATGCTCTATCAACCTAGGCAGATATTCTCATTCTAGGTCAAAGCAGAAACAACATGAATTTGATCAGGATTCAAGTCATTCAATCATTCAAACCTCAATCGAATATAATCAAATCATAGAATCAGTACTTGGGTTCATATAATCAAAGCCTAACATACAAATCTAGGGTTCTCCATACCCAGATGAATGGGAGAACTACTCCATGGAGAAAGAAGCAAAAGCAGAATCAGACGCGGAATTCATACTGTGAAGGATGGATTCCTGCTCCTGGACGTTGATCGGCACTTCTCCAAACTCAAGCTGGCCTCCAATGGTGTTGAAGATCAATCTAGGGCACTTGGAGACTCTTGTTCGTCACTTTCTCTCTCTAGGAATCGCTCTATCTCTCTCCAAACTCCAATCCCCTTCTCTTTGGCTGAAAATCTGCTTAAAAGGGCATCAGTGGCCAAACCACGGTCGAGGGCACGGCCGTGTAATGCCTTAGCCCGCCCGTGTTTTGGCTAGGGTTAATTACACGGCCAGTGCATTGGGCGAAACACGGGCGTGGTTGCTGATGAACACGGCCGTGCTTTGGTGGACACGGCCGTGCTCCAGCCCGTGTTTTTAGCCAAAATTTGCCCAACTCGACTTTGCTCTCGGCAGTAAAAGCACGGCCACAGAACACGGCCGTGTTCTGTTTTAGGTCTGTCCGTGTTTTGGCTCCAGCTCACCGAAATGACGTCCGAATGACCCGAAACTCGTGCTTAGCCTTTCCTTTGACGCCTGGGACCTGAAATATGACAAAATAGCACAACCCAGCGTAAAATAGGCCAAAATACACGACTATGCCTCTCAAACGGATAAGAATTAGGGGTGCAAATACATGCAATTACATCGTTATCAGGAACGTATGGGTTTCGGGACGCCATCGCTCCGCCATTGCCGTAAGCAGATCGTTGTCGATTTCGATCCGCATGAAATGGCGCAACATACCCAACCCGGTCCTCTCTATATAGGGCGCCAACCGTGGATGCCAAGGGGGCAAGTTTGTGGTCCCTTTATGAACGATGGGAATAAGTGATTCCTTCAAAAAAATAGGAAAAACATCAATTTGTTAGTTTAGATAAAAGAAAATAAAACCTTAGAAAATAATAAAATAAAGCAAATAAATCATCAAATTACCGGATTATTATCCCAAATAGCACGGGAGCGATGAGCTTCTTGATCGGTTAAGAGTCTCATATCTCGGCCCATAATGGATATACAATGGAGGATCGTATATCTCGGCACCCATCTATAAAAAAAAGTAATGAAATCAGAGATTGTTTTGATAAATAAAATCACAAAATCAAATTATTACGATTAAAAATAAAAACACAAAAAAAACCTTACATGAAGAGCCTCTTCGTCCATTTTTTGGCAGAAGCCGGGCAGAGGTTCGACGGGTTCGGGTTTGTAAGGGACGGGAGCTTAGCGGGACGGGGGCTTTAGGGTGAAACTCTAGTAATTCTTTCTGATGTGGAAGATCAGATTTATCCGCAACCACAGAGCATACTTAGAACGAGACTAGAGCGGATAAATTGAGGGAGAAAGAAGAATAATTATTGTGGTGTGATTTGTAAGTGGGGGAAAGGTCTATTTATAGTTGGGGGGGGGGGGGGGGGAGGGATATGGCGAGATTAATTTCTGGGATGCTTCACCTCCTTTGTCGAAAGCGGTGAATACACCGCGGATGTCAAAGACGGTGATGGGGGCGACGTGGACCAGCTGTGAGGCGTCGGATCTGGGAAGAAAACCACGATCCGCGCCTCACCGCATCTGACGGCCACGGTGAAAGGAAAAGCGACGCGGATCGCTGACGCAAACAAACACGGGGTATTCACCGTGTTTGTCTAACGCGATGAATACATCACGTTTGTCCACGTCGCTTTATCGTGGCCCACAGCAGCGGTTTAAACTTCACCGTATTTGAATAAAACGATGATTGACTCGTTATTGGTTCACCATTTTTTTTTAAAACGGTGAAATATTCACCGTTTTTGTCAAACGCGGTGATAATCTTCACTGCATTTGTCAAAAACGGTGAATGCCAAACATGTGTAATTTTTTTTTTTTTTATTAACTTATGTATTTTGAGAATTTTGTTTTTAACAGCTAGTGTACTTTGAGACTTTTTCTTCACACGAAGGAATGAAATGATTTTCAATAACTGGCAGGTTATAAGCTAGTTATCTAAATAAAACGAATAGAGTATTAGAAACCAGTGGATCTTTTTCTCGCCCCCCAAACACTTCGAATCCATCACCTCCCCTCAGCGATTTCTCCTCTTTCATCGTCGAGGTGCGCGGCACTGATCTGATCAGCAAACAAAGTTAGGGTGAAATGGCGCCGCCGGCAGCGGCTGCCGTGGTGCAGCAGCAGGGACAGCCTGCGCAAGGACGGCAGCAACAGCAACCAGCGGGTTTCGGCCAGTCAATTACTGGGATCATAAGAATTGCAGTTTTCTGGTACTTCGCTTCCAAATTTTTCTCTCCCAAGAGACCCGCCACCGATCCTTCTCTTCTCACCTCCAATCTCTTTCAGAAGGGCGAGCTCATGGTATTTGCCCTCCTTTCCTTCTCGTACTTCTCTGCTTCACTTCAACGCGTCCCCTGGTGTTCAATTGTTTCTTTTTCTTTTAATGCTCTGATGGGTTGTTGATATTCTGCTTTGCTTGTTGCTTAAAGATCCGAAACTTAAACAGAATAGAAAAGTAGCTCCTCTGTAGCCGCTGGAATGGAACATGATACTCTATCTGAACTGCTTATTTGGGGCTTGTTATTGGCTTCGTATCATGAGATTAGGTCACTACCCGTCTTGTTCGTTGACATAACATCACTGTGTACTGGTAAACCTTGAAACGGCAAGGTTCCAGTTTTGCTATTGTTAGAATCTGATGGCACCGATTCCAGTCTTTTGTTGCCGGGATCAATTGCTGATTTAGAACATATGGTGTTTTGTCAATGATTATTGGGTGCCATGCGAAAATAAATGGTTGCAATCATCTTTTATGTGTATTCTATATGTTTTTCTTGGTGTAGTTCATGCTTAAGTTGCATGATGTTCCTCTTACGTTAACGTGTCTGGTTCGTTCCCAGGACATGTGGTTTTATGTTTCGGAGAGTGAGAAGTTCAATGACTTCAACAACGAAGGTGCTCTTATTTGGCACGAAGCTAACATACCTTATGCAGTTTGGGCCCCGGAAAGTACTAGGTCCCTTTCTGTGAAGTATTATCCCTCCGAGGTACAAGTTGTTGATAATATTTCATCTTCTGCACAATCTTTCTCTGCTCTTATTATTTTCTATTTCAATATATTTTGGTGCTCCTAGTTTCACGAGATACAATATGTAGTTGTCACCTGTCGTTAAAACAATCGTACTTGGGTTCTTATTTTTATTATGGGAGCTTTCAAATACCATAACTTGGGCATGAGTCGCTTGGGCTGTCATTAATGCACGTGGTCTGGCAGAGTACTCTTCGTAATATTTGCATCAAAATGTTCATTTCATTATCAGTTTAGGTGAACTTGATCAATAGCTGATAAAATTTTAGGCAATCAATTTGTTCTTCTGCAGCTTCACAATTTCCCCCAATGAAATCCAGCATGGATACCATCGTTAAAAGAATTATTTTGTTATGCATCTTTTCAGGCATTGAAGCACAATGGCAGTCTTTATGCACATGTTTACTTTGCCCGTTCTGGGTATCCACCAGACCCCCAGGATCCAGAGTACCAACCTCTTGCTGCCTTTGAAAGGACTCATCGTATGGTTTCAGTTCTAGCAAGTAGCAAGATTCGTCCTTTACACTAAAAATGATATGGTTTTGGATATTAAAGTGATTTCTCTGTTTCACTGATTCCTTAGCCATTGTGGTTTACTTGCCGAAGTCAAAATCTGATAAGAGGAAGAGCCTGTTAGGGGATGGAAAAGGTGGCGAAGAAAGTGAACCACTTACTCAGGTATTTATCTTCAGTATTAAAGTAATTTATTGACCTGTTTTGCGGCTGAAACCTTGAGTAAGGAAGACACAACCATGGTCATTTTTTGGGCACTTACTCAGGTATTCTGACTGACAAGGACATTGCATTTTGTTGAATTCCATATTTTAATCTTAAACTTCATGCTATTCTGAAACCTTCGGTAAGGAAGACAAAACCTGGGTCATTTATTTGGCACTATCAGTGATAATATTTTTAGTAACACCTGTTGTTCATCCTATTTATCAGGATATCCTAAGTGTTATAATGTATTCTGACTGCCATGGGTAATATGTTTTGTCGAATTCCAGATTTTAAGCTTGAACTTCACTCTATTCTCTGATGTTTGTGAGCGATGCATATTCTATTCCTGTTGCCCTAACACAGATAATATTTGCATCAGGTGGTTGATGATCTTGATCTCGATCCTAAAGATGAAGGCCCTCCAGAATGGATTTCCTACTGGAAACCAAATATTACCATAAACCTGGTTGAAGACTTCTCTAGGTATATTCAATTCTATACTCTCTAGGTTATGGTTATTTGAGGAACAAAGTTAGCTATAATGGCCACAAACAGGAATTCCTTTAAGAGCATTAGGACTATGGAAGTATGGAACTTAAAATTGGAGTTATAGATGAGATTCTGGAAGAATCATAAAATAATCTGCAATTCTCGTATCCCTGTTCTTCGTAGAAATAAACCTTTTATATGTCCTGTATGTTTGGATGAGCGAATGAGAAGTTGAGTTATGTTTTGACTTTTGAGAAATGTTTAAGTTTCTATAACATAGTGGCTTCTTCTTATATGCTTTTTAAAAATCGAACTTCTACTAATTTGTTATTTAGAATATTTTGATTTGCTTATGTAACAATACATAAAATTCTTTGTTGGTTACCTCGATGCATCATTATTTTTAATCGGTTCTCCTTTTTGTTTCTAGAGTTAATCACTCATTAAGTTGTGAGAATTGAAAAAAATGAAAAAAGGTGCTCGAGGTTCCATGTTTCCCTTAACTTTATGGTGTTTTGCTTTCCTTTTCGTAGTTTAAAGCAACCATTTCCCTCTTGTTTTTTGTCATGAAAGTTGTGTTTTTATATGAACTGATAAGCTAACTGTTGGCTTTTTATTTTTGGCTCCTTATCTACAGATATTCACAAAGTGCAGTACCACCAAATATTGCTCCTTGTATCCTTGACCAAAATTTTAATCTATTTATGTTTCTTATAATTTTCTTTGATTCTTTTCATTCTTGCATCATGTAAGCATCATATTCATTGAAGGACAATTCGTGGTTTCAATTTTATGCTAATTTGTACTAAAAATGACTACTGTAATGGTGAATGAAGCTAATACTAGCACACAACGCCATCTAATGCCTACTGCGCTTCTTAACTCCAGTTGGCAGACATGAATTTTGAGCCTAGTACTGGGAATTACTATCCTACGGTATTCTTCAATGAGTTTTGGTTGCTCAGGGATAAGTTGACTGCACTGAATGAAACAGTGACAGAATTGCCACTTAATTTGGAGGTTGGCCCTATAAGCATGACAAAGTGGCAACTATTTCTTCAAATTGATCAGTCATTCCAGATACACCGAAGCTATGGAAGCATGCTTGAAGGTGAAGCTGATGAATTGAAGGTACTGTATGTGTGTATTTACAATATCAGGAATCTTTGTGAGCTGTGCTTCTACATGTGGTGTCATAACCAAGTAGTTATGCGATGGAGTATGCTATCCCAATTGAGTTGAGTACCTGATCCTGGATGTGAAGGTGATTGTGATTCAGTTATTGTGCCTATAGTTTTTTTCTATGGAGATTGCGATTCAGTTACTGCATTGAGATTCAGGTTATACGTAAAGTGACAGGATGGGAGAGTGATTTTGATTCAGTTATTTGAGGAAGGACTGGACTGCTATGTAATAGTTCATGTCCAAAGAGGAAAAATTATACTATATATTATGTGGCTATAGTTTATTTTTGAAGCAAAATTATAGGTCCTAAACCATTATGGAAATTATGATTAATGGTTTGCTGCATTTCTTTTTTCTATCAGAGGGTGTTCTTGGAAGGAAATCCTTACCTCCTTGGTATCACAATGGTTGTTTCGTTGCTCCATTCAGTGTTTGATTTCCTGGCGTTCAAGAATGGTGAGTATTCACTCTTTTATTTATATACAAGGTCATTGGAATGTTCAATTTCCCATGGAAGTATTTCTCACTGATCTTCTATTGCTACAGATATACAATTTTGGAATAAAAACAAGTCTATGGAAGGATTGTCGGCGAAGTCTGTTGTCGTGAACTTCATATCTCAGCTCATAGTCTTTCTCTATCTACTTGACAACGACACATCATGGATGATCCTTGCGAGCTCAGGTGTTGGTGTGTGCATTGAATTTTGGAAAATTGGGAAAGCAATGCACATTGAGGTATAAGCTATATGTTAATTTTTTTTAGTTTTGTAGTCCCTTGGAATGTTAACTCCACAAATACTATTGAACTCCGTTTTAGGCCTGAGCCATGGGATAATGTATCTGTTCTGTGTCTATAAGTCTTTTAGGTTCTCTTCATCATTATTTGAAAGATAATGCTAAACGCAGATATGCTTGTAGTACACTGCGATAATTCAGGGGGAAAACAAAGGATCTTGTTAAGTCCTTGCTTTTAGTTTTATACAGCAGGAATTGTATTCTGGTTTCTGCTTCCATATTCTAATAATATTCTGTTTGTGTCTCACATCAACAGATTGATAGAAGTGGCAAGATCCCAATGCTGAGATTCCGAGACCGTGAGTCTTATGCTGGAAATAAGACTAAGGAATATGACGACATTGCAATGAAGTATTTGTCCTATGTGATATTTTTGCTTGCTGCATGCTTTGCTGTTTATTCGCTCAAATATGACCGGCACAAGAGCTGGTACTCCTGGATTCTGTCCTCATTAACAAGCTGTGTCTACATGTTTGGTAAGCAATCATTTTCCGAAGCCCTTATGCTGTACTGTGGCAACATCAGTATTATATGCTAATCATTGTGGAATGTTTAACCTCTCTGGTGAGGTTTTAGGCAAAAAGTTAATTGTGCTATGTTCCTGCAGGTTTCATCATGATGTGTCCGCAGTTATTCATAAATTATAAGCTGAAGTCGGTGGCTCATCTACCTTGGAGACAAATGACATACAAGTTCCTCAACACCATCATTGATGATCTATTTGCATTTGTTATAAAAATGCCAATACTACACCGGCTCTCAGTCTTCCGTGATGGTGAGATTCTAATACAGTTACTTTTTCTTGGTTTTCCCCTTTGATTTCGGTTCTGCTATGATTTTCTCCTCGTCTGTTGTGCAACACAATCACCCCTGTCTGCTGCTGCTTCTTTGTTTGCAGATATCATATTCCTGATATATCTGTACCAGAGATGGGTCTATCCAGTGGACAAGAAGCGTGTAAATGAGTTCGGCTTTGGAGGTGAGGATGATCCGGCCTCTAGCACAACGGTTGGTGAGACAGTTGCTGCTGTAACTAAAGAGGAAGATAAGAAGACAAACTAATCAAAGCTAGCTTGGGACTTTCTTGTTTTAGTTTTGCCCTGTCAATATTTTTGGAAACTATACTGCGGGAGGAAGATTCGTTTACTTCATTAGAAAGAAATGTTGCTAGTTCCAGTCGCTCGATCATGTTAATGAGACCAACAAACCAGCGTTCTTCTTTCAGTTCCCTTTTACAGCTTGGCTGCGTTGGAACATCAGCAGCAAGGACGCTGGGCATTTTGGTATACCATCCGCCACTTATTTTAGCAATGCGATGTGGTTACTATGTGAAGTTGGGGGAAATGAGGTTCTCGGTTGGGCACTTCAATTTCGTAGCTAAGAAAGAGCTCACGGGCAATGTCCAAAAGTTCAAGGTTGTGATCTTCGAAAATTTCACGCCATCTTTCGAAACAAACCACAAAGTTCACGGGATTGGGAAGTATGCTTACAAGTTACAAGAGTGAACTTCTCTTCTTGAGCCTGTAATCTTCGATTTAGGCCGAAAAATGTATTTTCTCATTCTATCAATGCATCTTTAGGAGTTGTTACTTGAATTTATATGAATATTTTATGGAGTTCTTACTTGAATCTAGCAGGAAAAATGCCTGTAATCTTCAATTCTGTAATCTTCAATTTACCACGAAGGACATGAGCTTGATTACACCAAATTATAGTGTATATCACACCCATATTTAATACATTTTCACATTCTATCAATGCATCTTTGGAGTTTTTACTTGAATTTATATGAATATCTTAACTAATTGATCAATGTGCTTTTAAGAGACCCATGATGTGTTTTTGTATCTTTTTATACATGTTGGTATGTTTTTGTTCTTCTAGGTACAAGACAATCTAGGAGAGATTTGGATCGATGCTAGGATAATTATGGAGGATCAATGGAGCGTTTATGAGAAGATTAGGGAGTTTTTCATCTACTAGACGAACCCCAATGCAGGGGAAGCCTACCAGAAGTCTCAATTGCAGTTTAAAAGAAGCCCAACAGAGGAAACTCAACCCCAATTTGGATAAGGAACTAAAGACAACCTCAAGACGGGTTCAACCACCGCATACCCAACATGATCAAGTGATGCCCAAATTTCCAGGAGAAGTTGCTTGGCCCACAAGAAACGGCTGGCGCCATTGGACCGCCATCGACCAAATCCCTTGTAGAAGCTTGTAGAAGGCCCTTTCTTCCTCTTTAAATGAGAGAATCCGAGTTCCAAGGCATGAAAGGACTATTTTGACTGAGTTTTAGGAGAAAAAACTCAGAGAATACCCCCTCTATCATGTACATATAAATAGAGGCATAGGTTAGACATTTAGAAACACCTTTATACCAGCACTCTACCCTAGGAGCACGAGTTAGTGATCCATAGAGAGAAGGCGAGGCCTTGCTAGAATTCGGCAAGGAGACCCTCACCATTGATGCTTGTATCATTGGTCGTGTCTTCCTATTTTCTCATGACGTTCTAGCTCTGTAGTGTTTAGGGATGTGAATTCTATGATTCATCATGTATCTTTCTATGATTTAATGAGATGTTTATTTCATTCAATTCTCTAGTCCATTGATGCTTGTATCTTTAGATTGCTATAATGTATTCGCGATACTTTGTTCATATAGGGAAGTTAGGACAGTTAGTTAGGCATAGCCTTACTTTATCTTTATAGGCTTGTTTATATCATCGATTCCCTATGTCATTCTATGCTTTAACCATAAATATTTTTTACCTTTATTATGTGCTACTATATGCATCATTTATAATATCATCTAGGATGTTAGGAAACTAGTTTCTTGTGATATCTCATTGCCTTGTGTACGCTTGCTTAGTTTATGCATGTTTATAAGAGATCAATGCTTGATTATTAGATCATCGATGCTATATAAATTATTATGGCTCAAGAGGCCCACACTTAACCATGCTATCCTCACTTCCTTATTTTTAGTTAGGCTAAATTACACGTTTGGTCACTCAAATTATATAAATCTTTCACGTTTGCCATCCAAATTAGTTTTCTTTCTTATTCACCACTAACTTTATGAATCGTTTCACCGTTAGTCACCGACCGTTAGTCTCCGTCAATTCTGTTAATTTTTTAATGACGTGGCAAACAGATTGCTGACTAGACCATTAACTAATGACATATAAATTGAAAGAAAAATAAAAAAAAAACAAATAATTTACACCTCATTCTCTCACTCCCTCGTTCTACAACTCCTTCTTACTTCCATCATCTCCACCATACCCTCTCCTCCGCAGCCCGCGCCACCATGTCAACTCCTTCTCGCTTCTACTGTACTTCTTCTTCTTCCCCTTCTCCTGTCGCAACGCTTTCTTCCGGAAATTCCACCCACCATGTCAACGCCTCCCTTGCCATCAGATCTGGGCCATTGTCGGACTTCTCTGCATAGAAAAACGAGATTAATAACAAAAGCTTGGCAATCGTGTCAGGGAGAGGGGCATGGGCGGTGGAGGTGGCGTCGAAGGGGTCGATTAAGGATAGGCATACGAAGGTGGATGGGTGGGGGCGAAGGATCCGGATGCCGGCGGCTGGTGCGGCTAGCGCTATGAATGACATAGTCATTTCCACCGTCTGTCTGAGCGATTCCCCTGCCGACGAGCAGATCTTGATGGAGAAGCACCAATCATCGGATGCGAGATGGACCAGGTGCATCACTCAGCGACTTGTAGATCTGGGTTGGCTTCGAAGGATGGGTAATCATGCGACGATGATGCTTGTCTCTCCCTTTCACTCTCCCGCTGACGAATTCACCAGAAAATTGAACTAGTTATTGATGAGTTCTGGGCTTGAAACCCAAAAATGCAGAGTATGTAGCCTCTAGAGGAAGCGTAGGAATGGAACCCACACCAGTGGCTATAGAGAGCGGCTGTTGGAAGCACAAAACCATAATGCGAAGCAGAAAAGAACAAAAGGTTTTAAACTTGGGTACTGGTGGCAAAATTGGAGCTAGGAGTTTGGGGATTTTGACTTTACTTGGATGGATCTCAGGATTTCATGTGACGAAGAGGTTGGATTCCGGCTATGGGGAGTGGGACTGAACTAGCGGTCGAAAGGGGATATGATAATAAACAGAGCTTTCTTCATGACCCAGATCTGATGGTGAGGGAGGCATTGACATGGTGGGTGGAATTCCCGGAAGAGGGCGTTCCAGCAGGAGAAGGGGAGGAAGAAGAAGAATTGGTAGTAAATGGTCCAGTTAGCAGGAGAGGGGGAAGAGGAGAATGAGGTGTAAATTAATTGTTTTATTTTTTTTCTTCAAAATTGACATGTCATTAGTTAATGGTCCAGTCAGCAATATGTTTGCCACGTCATAAAAAAACTAACAGAGTTGACGGAGACTAACGACAAGTGACTAATGGTGAAACGATTTGTAAAGTTAGTGCCGAATAAGAAAGAAAACTAATTTGGGTGGCAAACGTGAAAGATTCATATAATTTGAGTGATCAAATGTATAATTTAGCTTTTTTAGTTAGCTAGGTGATGACATCAAACGAAAGCACACATTAGCTAGCTATTGTTCCTTTTGCGTGTGGCAAAAGCTTGGTTAGGAATGCATTCGTGGAAGGGATAGAGTGTCATAATAGATGACCCATTGAAGCATCTTATTAATGAGATTGTATGCATGAGCATCAATATGAAGCTACCTAGATAATAGTTTTACTTACATGCTTTGTTTGTCTTTTGTTTTCTTTAGTAGAGTAGAATTTCGATCAACACCTCAACCCATTGCTTTTACATTTATTTGCATTGTTATCTCAAAAACAGGGTGTTAGTTTTGAGTAGTTACTATTAAAAGACCTTGTGGAATTCGACCCTAGGAACTCCTAGGATTTTATTACTTGCATTGCGCTATACTAGGGCTGTCAAAGCTCAAAGCCCGTAGCCTCGGATTCTGCCAAAGGGAACGAGAGCCATTCTACAAGACATTGGTTAGATTCAATACCTTAATATGGAACTGCCCCCATAATGGATATAACAACAAACAAGTGGCAGAAGCATTGTACAAAAGACTAGATGAGACGAGTGCGTTACTTGTCAACCTATTAGTGGGAGGAGACATACTTCAACAAAGTGCAACTAAAAAGGATATGTACGAGTGACTAGCACAAATTACCAGAACCTTGCAAGAAGGAGATCACCCCCAAAGTACGCTAGTGCAATGCTCGTCATCCCAGATCCTATTTAGGAATTAAAGATGCAGAATGAAGCATTGACGAAGAGAGTATGCACCTTGAAAACAAAACTTTATAAGAGCTATGAAGAAAAGAATCAAGTAGAAGAAGTATGTAAGCTCAATAGGAAGCAAATATTACAAAGCTATTAGATAAAGAGTGTGGGGTTGACCCCAAGATTGGGGAGATGCGTCGAGCTATAAATACAACTAAGCAAAGATCTAGAAGAATGAAACCCACATCTTCAATCTTTCCTGTAAGGTGGAAACCAGCCATTTAAAGATCAATCCAGAACCTCCTATCCACAATATCACTAATGATTTAACAATGATCAGCTACTAAAAGATGTATAAAGCACCAAGAATTCTCATGAAGGCTATGAAGAACATCTCATTGAGATGTATGGGGAGAATGGAAGAAATTATAGACCATGGGGTAGAAGGCCATTTGAAAGCTATCACACATGATGAGGAAGAAGATGATTATGTAACTAAATCCTGGGAATGAGCAGAAGGAACGAGACCCCCTCGGGAAGGTGCAATGGATGGAGAAAGTTGTAGTTTCATCCAAACTTTCCTGAAAAGCTTGGAAGATGATGGGAGCATCACACCAACCAAAGAAGCCACTAGTGAGTAAGAAGATATTGAGTCAATACAAGAGGACATGAATCATATCATTTATATTCTTCAATTTGCACCTACCATGCACAAGAAGAATGCAAGCAATTGACCTCTACAGGCACAAGAAGATATCTAGAAGGAAGTGGCAGAATCTCATGATCCCCCTTCACCACTTACTCAAAGTTTACCCAATGATGCTCAACCTATAGAAAAAAATGAAGATGAGGAGCGTTAAAAGAGCAACCACCTCCACCAACCAATATGGAATCAGAGTGACCACCCAAAAAATTTGAAGATCAGACCAACATGGCATCCAACCAAGGAAAAGAACATGCTACCACCTATCTCCCCTCCTCAATGAAAGGACATAACATCATCAAATTGACCAAAGCTCCATATACTGCGAGATTAAGGAAAACAAAGTAGAAAGACGAAGCTGCTCTATGTCAATTCATCAAAAACCCCACCTTTGGAATTGGTGAACCTCTTCATGACAACCTACATCTCCTTCTTAATGTATAATGAAGCCGTTGGGAGACTCTAATTTTGAGCATGAGGAAGTGAAGGCAAAGAAGGAAGAACTCATCATTTCAAAGGAGCTCTTGGTGTAAAAGTGGAGAATACCATTCTTGAAGTTGGAGACCATGAATAAAACTGCAAGAACAAGATGGAGATGAATCATGGAGTCAAGCCAGATTTCTCTCGACTCCTTGAATGTGATACTTTTGCTAAATTTTTGGAAATCTGTGAGACCGTTGTGTCTTACCTACCCAAGAGAGGGGATTATGTGAGTTCTATCTTGACCCAATTCTCATACAAAGTTCACAAGCCACATTCAAAGTGCGGGGTAAAAGCTGCAAGGTGGAGACTAAGGTGGAATCTTATTCATTGTCCACTCACTCGCTCTAAACTACACTCCCAATCGAAAGTCAAGCATAACCAAGGACTGGGTGTAGTATAGTGGAAGCAAGTGATAAAATTATCAAAGCCTTAGGTCTCTAGATGTACGGTTAGTTCAACTTCGATTTGTTATCTAGCAAAACAAGGTTTAAGTTCAAGAAACTAAACTAAATAGACTAGTCTTATAACCACACTAGCTAATTTACAAGTTGGGAGCTCAATTAGTCATTGAATCCCTCTAGCCACTAACCACACGTATGATTGGCGATCCTCAACTTGATTCATTCTTCATTCATAATGAGGAGAGTCCTTGACTAGACCTTGAATCTTTATTCAAACAATCAAGACCTTCTTGATTGGATTGATTAGAGGGTCATAACCTTCTATAAAACAATCGATCATGGCATTCAGCACTAGCCCCTTCTATTGGGTGAAATTCCAACATAATACAAAGCAAAGAACCGACTCACACTCGTGTTATCGAGCCCTTACTCCCAATCTATGGTGATCTAATTAACATAATCATATTTTCTCTCTCATAGATCAATAGCAAAATCAATTAATCTTGATGAAGGAAGAATTGAACATCAAAACATGCATAGATTGGATATGAAAACAAGAATATCAAAAGTTAGAGTACTCACACAATCAAGCTAAACATAACTAGAGTTCATCAAAACCTAAGTGAAGGAGAACTATTCAATAGAGAGGGGAGAGAATGTAATATAAACCTCAAGATCTTCTAGGCATGATTTTCTAGCTCCAATGGGGTTGGGTACCTCCAAAAAAGCTTCATGAACGCTTCTAGGCCACTCTCTCTCTCTCTCTCTCTCTCTCTCTATATATATATATATATATATATATATCTATTTGGAACGTCCCTTACCTATTTTTGGCTAAAACCCAAGCTCTGCTCCTCTCAAAAACGCAGAAAACATCTTTATACTGCAGTTTGCGGAGTTCCCTGTCAAAGGTCACGACCGTGACATCAACAAATGTCGTGAGATCAATCAAAAGCGCGTCATTTGGCCCTTGGAACGTCCCAAGTCTTCTCTAGGTCATAAGTCACGGTTGTGGCTCACATCTCACGGTTAATCCGTGAGATTTGAAAATGCTCGCAAAATGCAAATGTGCTGATGGAACTGTGTGCAAATGTCCCCCCTGAAATCATGAGAATTACACTAAACCCGTGATCTTTGCACAAACGCCACACTTTGGCTTGTTTTGATCTCCAAATGCCTCAAAACTTGCTCCTAAGCTTCCCACATGTAATAAGATCTCAAATATGACAAATAAGTCGAGGAACGCTAAACACCACGTCAAACAATCAAGAAATGAAGAGTAAAATATGTATAATTAAGCTTTCGTAGTACTTGTAACTTGTAAAAGCTTCATCCACCCCGACCTCATCCATTGATCGGACACAACTTGCATCTTCGACCTCCCTCCCCTTGGGAAAAATCAAGATCATCCTCCTCTTTGGTGCTCACTTCCTCCTCATCAACCCCCTCTCGCACCGTCTCATCCATGTTTTCACGCACGAATTGAAGTAGGGATGGCAACAAAACCCGAACCCACGGGTACCCACCCGACCCAACCCGGTCAACGCGGGTAAAATCCGTGTTGACGGGTTTTGGGCCGGGTTTGGGTTTAAACCCGTTCACTATTCACCGGGTTGGGTTGGGTTTGGGTTTAGGTAAATCCGACCCATGGGTACCCGCTCACACCCATATAGTTAATTTTTTCGGTATATTTAATATTCTAAACAATAATCTTACTTATGTTTGTGGAGACATGTCAAATTTTTTCTTTCAAATTGTGTAGAATGAAGTTGATGTTATCGAGTGGAGAGTGAAGAAACTTAATTGAAAGGAAGAAGCTTTCAATTAATCATGTTATTTATGGATAATTTGTGATTTGCTTCAATTTTCTTGAGTTTTCTAGATTGGTGTGGAACAATTTGTAAAAAAAATATAGTTAATTTGTGATTTGCTTGAATTTTCTAGAATGGTGTTTTATATATAGTGTTTTATATATGATATTTGACTTTAATTTTGATAGGAACTTGTTATTGTAAATTTTTTACGACAAAAACCCGTGGGTACCCATGAACCACGGATACCCAGCGGGTTGGGTTTGAGTTTTTCAAACCCAGTGGGTTTTACCCCGGGTTTTTTTCACGGATAAACCCATGGGTTTGGGTTTGGCAAAACCCGACCCATTGCCATCCCTAAATTGAAGGACAAGTCGCCATGCAAGATCATTAATCGGGTCATCTTGCTCCTCAAACCTTGTGACTCGGTCTTCAAAGCTGGTATTTGGATGGGGAAGGGTTTGAAAGTCATTAATGACTCACTCTTGGTCATCCTCACCACTATAGATCTCTGGGATGAGATCCTCTTGCTCCACATGGTCGTCATTAATCTCCTCTTCAAGTGGTAAGAGCATAGGCGTGCACAAGCTTGCTCAAACTTCTCTTGTAGGTTCAAATAGGAAGGAGGGAGGGGTAGGTAATCCATGTTGGGAGCATGTTATTTCAAATTTCTCCATGGAAAGCTCTAATGATTTACTTTCTATGAAGCTCTCCGATGTTAACTCCAATTCGGATTTCACATCGGGTTGTGGGAGGAAGTTATAACATCCCATTTCGGCTAAACCCATATTTTGATCGCTAGACAGTTCGTGATTTAAAATCAAACATTTTGATAGTATTTCGACAAAAATCGGATTATGAATCGATCAGGCAAGTATACGTATTAATTATATATAATATATATAATTACATTAAGCGGTCATTGACCACAATATAAATCCCTTCCCCGTCATTTCTTTCCCCATCCATTTCTTCTTCTTCTTCCATTTCCGGCCGAGAGAAACAGAGATGCAGAGGCAGCTCGGCTAGAAATTTCAGAGCTCGAATCTTGAGCTCTAGTGATCCAAAAATCCCGTAAGTAATGCCTAATTCATCTATACATCGTAGTTTATTGATTTAGAGCTTTAAAACGAGTTTTTGGTTCAGGAATTTCTCGTAACCCCGATAAGCCAAATTAGGGTTTCGGAGTATCCGGAAGCCGGATTGAGCCCAAATTTTATATACGAGCTTCCTGCAGCGAGGTAATCAATCCTCTAGTTCTAATCCCTGAATTTCGGCAATTTTTTAGGTCGAGGTCCAAATCGCTGAATTTAGCTCCAGCCAGGGTTTGATGTGTTTTTATTGAGAATTTGACCCGGAGCCTAGAACTAATATTGACGGGGATACTGCAGAGGATATTAGGACGGTCTCGGATTTTAATTCGGGGTTTGTTCGTGAAATTGACGTTTTAGTACGGGAAGCTTAAACCGGTGTTTGAACGACCAGAACTGGTGAGGGATTAGCACGACATACCGGGTTTGTCGTATCACGATAATTATATTGATGCTTAGAATTGATCTAGGTGAACTAGAATGGCATGATTATGGGTGTATGAGCTTTTGTGCTATATGTTGAACCTTGGATTGCTGTATGATATTATTGACTTGCCCTAATTGATATGAATCTTGTTTATGCTGATGATTGTGTATATGTTGCAAATTGTGGCTTGATTGTTAATATGCTTTACGATGGTTCGAGAAGCTGATTAGGTATGATTTTTCATGATTGTTGCATTTGGATGCACAAGTGGGAAAATATATATTCCCTGGTGATATTATGATGTTTAAGGAGGATGACTTGCACGAGGGTTTATCCCGAGGAAGTGCAATTATACGACTCCTGTTTTACCTATGTTGAGCCAATTATGGCCAGGTCAAGTACATGTGCAAGTAATGAATTATGATTAAGCAAGATGAGATATGAATCATGTATAAGGATACCAAATATGAGTGTTGTGATCTCACGGTCAACTACATAGTAATTAGGGCTCCCTATGCTATTACTCTATTATGATATGTATGATAGTCACACCTCTCATGTGGTGGTGACTGAAGAATTCTTACGAGATATGACCACACCCAGAGTGGTGTCGGGGTATGACTACACCCATAGTGGTGTGGGGTATGTATGACCACATCCGACGGGATGTTGGGGTATGTATGACTACATCCGACAGGATGTGGGGTATGTTTCCCGGGAGAGTTTTTAGCATGGGAGTAGCCAGGCGCCTATAAGTAAAACATGATAAGATGTATATGCATAAGTCAAGATGGTTGAGTCTTTTGCCTATTGGGATGTCGGATGACCGAGGTCTGATCCTAGTGCTTTGGCTTGTTTGCTAGATGTATGGTAGGGGTATGCTCTGTTATGAACTCACAATGCTATGATTATCTCACTCAGCTATGAGCTGACCCTCTTTATCCTTTTTCTCTGCTTATGCCACGTGTAAGCAGATCATCAGCAGCAGCAGTAGATAGGTGTATAGGTGGGAGCTGAGCAAGAGTTGAAGTCAAGATGAGGTATGGTCTTCAACCATTCTGTGGTTGGACTACTACTCGGGATTTTGGCCAGTGATCCACACCTTTTTGTAAAAATGTTTTGAGAACGTTTTCATGTGCATACTAGCTTCTGATCTAGTGTGAGATATCCACAGGTGTGGAAAGTTGATGATATGTGTATATGTTGTGTAACTATGTAAGTTGTGACGATTATGGTATGTATAAGTATGGTATGCAGTTGTGGAGTATGAAAAGTGTGACTATGGCTAAGAAAAGCCAATGCATATGGTTGTGAGTATATATGTTTGTGGTGAATTATTTTGCAGGATAAGTTGCAAGAACTGTTAGCCCATTACGCGAGTAATTCATGTCGAAATTTTCTTTGGGTAAATTTTGACAATTAATGTAATACCCGAGATTAATTCCGCTGCAATTGTATGAACAATATGATTAGGCAAAATGTATAGGGTAGGGTGTTACAGAAGTCTTCTTGGTATGGGGAAGTTTCTTGATATCCCCATGAATATGGTTGTTCCTCATGGAAGGGAGGTTGGTCATAGAATCCAAATCCTTGGCTTCCAGCCTCTTGATTGTTCCATGAAGCTTCGGGTTAACCTCATTCGAGCGTTGGTGGATACCCCCACATGTGGGAGAAGTCATTGGAATTCATGATTCAACCAACACAAACAACACTGTCAAACGCAAACGTGGAAAGTGAACAAAACAAAAATGACTAAATTAACAAACCTAGACTTTTCCGCGATAATCTAGAATTCCCTGGCAACGGTGTTATAAACTTAACTCGCTCTAAAATACACTCCCAATAGAAGGCCAAACATAACCAATGGCATGGTGTAGTATATAGTGGAAGGAGGTAATAAAATTATCGAACCCTAGGGTCTTTAGATGTATCGTTACTTTAAATTCATTTGTTATCTATCAAACCAAGGTTTAAGTTCAAGGAACTAAGCTAACTAAACTACTCTAACAACTACACTAGCTAATTTACAAGTTGGGAGTCCACTTAGGCATTGAATCCCCCTAGCTACTAACCGGATCAATGATTGACGATCCTCTAACTTGATTCATAATTCGGAGAGTCCTTGACTATACTTTAAAATCTCTATTACAAAAATCAAGGCCATATTGAGTCAGTTGCTTAAGGGGTCGTAACCTTCTCTAAAATAACCGATCAAGGCGTTCGACACTAGTCCACTCTATTGGATGAGATTCCCACACAATAGAAAGCAAAGACCCGACTCACACTCGTGTTATCGAACTCGTACTCCCAATCTATGTTTCTCTAATTGACATAATCCTATTTTCTCTCTCATAAGTCACTAGCAAAATCAATTAATCTTGATGAAGGAAGAATTAAACATTAAAACATGCATTGATCTTCTATATCCAATGAGGCTGGGTACCTCCAAAATAGCTCCAACAACCCTCATAAGTCTCCCTCTCTTTGGCTCATTTTGACCTCCAAATTCCTCGAAACTCGCTCCTAAACTTCTCCCACGTACTAGGACTTAAAAATATGACCAAAAAAGCTCAACCTAGCATAAAATAGACCGAGGAACGCTAAACACCACGTCAAATGATCAAGAAATGAAGGGTAAAATATGTATAATTATGCTTGAATCATCCACCATCAAGTCAAAGAAGAAGAAGGATAGCATACAACTTGAGTTTTCATCTCTAACGATGGACTTCAAAAAATCACTTAATTGGGGAGAGAGCTTGGACGTTACGACTAGATCAAATGCATAAAAGATGGAGCACTTCATGCATGGGAGGCAACCCATGTCCGGTGTCCATCTTAAGAACGTAAAAGGTAACTGACAATAATAAAAAGAGCATTGTTTTCCCCTTTTGTCTTTTATACAGTGCACAGTCCAACATACACTACAAGAAACTGAAATCGAAATTGAAACACACAGCGAGTGCGAGAGGCGGTTAAAAGCCAGCCAGCCGTAGTTTCTCCGCCGCTCCGCTGCTTCGACGGAGAATTCCCTCGACCCCTGCTGTAAATTATACCGACACCACCCCAGGTGGCGGTTGGGTGGTGATCCACGGCGTGACGCACCTCATCCTCACGACAACAAACGATGGCAGTGCAAAAGTCAACCTACACCCTTTGACCACGACCCTCCTCCTCCTCACTTCCCGCACTACGTACCGGGCGAACCCCGCCGCCGCCGCCTTCACTTCCTCGGCCCACATCTTCCCCTTGCCTTTCAGCCACTCCACGTCCGTCGCCAGTACGATGGCCGGACCTCCGTCCGCCTTCTTCTTCTTGTCCGTGAAGCTGTAACTGCTGAGGAACACGCGCCTCGCGTCCCAGTACTCGCGGCTGCTCATCATCATCTGATTGTTGTGAGAACCAGTAGTACTACTGTCGCTCGTGCTACTGGTCCTGGAGATCATCGTGTAGTGATGATGATGACGTGGAGTGGTGGGTGGCGGGTAGTATTTTACTTGTGCTTGGTCTTCTTCCGCCTCGCGAAGGCGGCGGTGGTGGTGCCAGGCGGCGGCGGAGGTGGTCGGCGGCGGCCTGGTGAGGACGTGCTTCAGGTCGGGCCATTTCATTAGTGACTGCTGCTGGCTTGCTGCCGGCCAGATTTTGTTCCTTTCTGCACTCTTCTTCTTCATTAGTTGATAATATTACCGTGTACCATCATCCACCTACACCTGCTTATATATACTAACTGATCTCTAGTTCTGTGTGCTTTTTGTATTTGTCTTTTATCATTTCTTGTTTGGTTGCACTTAGAGGATATAGTTTTATATTAGTCACGGTAGGTGAATCTGTATTATTGTGGGGAGAACTAGTGACATATATTGTGTTCATAATTAAACAATAAAAATGTCATCATAATGGTGCATTAGTGGTTGATCCATATTAGAGGAGTTGCGTTTTCAGGGTCGCTGCGGGTTGCGCACCCACAATCCAACTAACTCTTTTTACTTCGAATTTTTTTTTTCTCCGACGGATTACTTCTTCCTTTTTTTCCCACCCCAACAAAAATTATTATTTGGAAGGAGGCTGTTGGTGATGGGGTGGGCAACAGGAAACGGGTATTTGGGTATATCCGTACCCGTCCCGTTTTTTAAGGGTTACGGGTACTCATATTACCCGTATTATTATAAACGGATGGGACTTGGGATTGTATATTCCTAATATGGGTACCCGCGGGTTACCCGCAAATACCCGTTTGGGTAATGTGGGTACCCGTTATACCCATTTACCAGAAATAGCCCACAGCCCAACACCCCAACCCAATTCACTAATTCAGAAATGTAGCATTGGGCCTTGGCCATTTCGGCCCTTACCCTTAGTCGACCCTTACCCTGCCTGGCTGCCTATTCCCTTTCGGCTTTCACTTAACTGCGAGACAGTCAGACAGCGAGAGTGTGAGACAGCGTCCTCCACCCAGCGCAGCCGCAGCGCCAGCCTCAGCGAGACCTAGCTCGCTAGCTCCGCCTCCGCGTCTCTGCCGCTCCGCGCTCTTCCTCCTTCATTCACCGGCGCTGGCCGCGGCGGCTTCCTTCTTCTCACTCTGCTGCGCCGCCTCCAATAGCAGACCAGCAGCAGCCAACTTTCCCAGCCAGGAGCAGGGGGAATATCAGCAACATCACCATTCACCCGGCGTTGTTATCTATTTAGGTATGCAGCTGCCATTCTCTTTTCTTTTCTACTTACAGTACATATTCTGGACTCTAATTACTAGTTAGGTTTGTTCTGCTAATTACTAATTATGTTTCTAATTTCCAGCATATGTCTATTTGGTTTATGTTGATTTGGTTTATAGTTTCCATGGCTAATCAAGGGAATGAAGCCAGTCAAGGGAATGAAACTTTGGGTATTTATGGGTATTATGGGTACCCGTTATCCGTCCCGTACGGGTAATGGGTACCCGTTTCCCATATGGGTTTGGGACATGGGAAGGACTTTGGCCTCCAAATGGGACTGGGTACCCGTTTAAAACGGGACGGGTATCCCGTCCCGTCCCGTTGCCCACCCCTAGTTGGTGATTCGACCTTCTTTTTTTTTTCAGAGACGATTTGGTGATTTGACCCTTCCACCCAGGGATGGCAATGGGTCGGTTGGGGGTTTTCCAAACCCAAACTCAAATTCATGGGTTTATCCGCCAAAAAAACCCGGAGTAAAACCCGTCGAGTTTGAAAAACTCAAATTCAACCCAACCTGTTGGGTATTCGCGGGTTCATGGGTTCCCGTGGATTTTTGTGATAAAAAATTTACAATAATTAGTTTCTTTCAAAATAAAATTCTAACATCAATTTTCTCATAAAAATTATCCATACAAAAAACACCAATCTAGAGCATACAATCAAAATGCAAATTATCAATACAAATTGTTCAAAATTAAAGGTAAACATCTATAAACAACATGATTAATTGAAAGTGTTGGGTATATGGCTCGGGTCTAGCCGCGCCAAGGAAGCATACCGACACCGCCCCCCAGAAGAGTCAGGCGCGTTAGCACCATCACAACCAAGGCCGCACCCGCGGGAAGATCACGGGCGCGGAGAAGACATCACTCGCGGACGAAGATCCCAGACGCCGAACGACGACGTTTCAATCAGGCTTTGACCAGACCAAGAAACCATGAAAACGACGCCGCATTCCCCGAAGAGTGGTCACATCATAGTCCTAGGTATAATCATGGACTAATCTCCTAGTCCTAGGTAGAGGTATGGCCTAAACGCCCGACATGTCAGTAGTCATGTCACATTAAATACTCACCCACCACCATGTAGCCTATAAATATGGCATTTACTCCTATGGGTGAGGGGATCGCATTTTTACTCTCTCACTCTACCTACTAAGAACTTTATCTCTCTAAGAGTTCTCTCTGCCCTAACTTCCCTGTTGCTTACTCTCCTCACCCACCTTTCATCCGAGTCTCCCTCCTACTCTCAGTTAGACTCAAACAATTGGCGCCGTGGGTCCAGAGTAGAGAAGCAATAGGACAGCAAAATCGCAAATGGCAGAACAAGACAATAACATTCCTAACGAAGCAACCCCGATCAAGGCAATCACAAACTCAAGGTCGTTCGCGGAAGCTAGCAACCTCAACGCGGTCTTGATCGAAGAGGAAGAGCCAGAGCTGACAGCCAAAGAGGTCCGCCACCAAATGACCAAACAAAACGAGGTCATCGCGGACATGCAAACGAAAATGAACCAAGTGATTGCCCTGATGATGAGCAAAGAGACCTCCGCGACCACGTGAGAGCGTCCAGCAATGACGCTACCACCTCCCACAGATTGCCAAACAGTCAGACAGGCAAACCCGCAGTCCCGCGAGCAGGACTCGCCGGCTAGAGTGGATCTGACTTTCTTAGAGCAGCACCTGTCCCCATAATATCGCGCTCCGCCCAAAAAAACCCTGCACCAACCACTGTGCATGGAAATTATGGCGGAACACTAAGCGGGATTCCACCCACCCTGCCCACATACAACGGGACAACAGACCCGAAGGACCACGTCAGCAGCTTCTGTCTCCGCAGGCAGCTGCAAACGAACTCCAACGCGACACTATGTAGAATCTTCCCATCCACATTCGCGGGCATATGCCTGGAATGGTATAACCGCCTCCCCAACGAAATCATTCGCACATTCGAATAATTCATACTACTATTCGCAACGAAGTTCGCCTCCCAAAGAGAAGACCGCTCCACCTTAAAGCATTGATCGATCTAAAACAGAAGGATGGGGAAAGCCTGCGGGCATTTTACGTTAGATGGTCGAGGACCGCGATGGCGGTACGCGACCTGACTCTAGAGACCGCCGCCCACCACCTTATGGAAGCAACCACCAACGAGGAACTCAAACGCGCGCTGGCCAAAAGACCTGTAATTTCATCCTCGGAATTGGAAGCAAAGATCGAGAAAGCTATTACTTTGGAAGAAACCCTAGGAGCGGGATCGGTCCGCCGCTACTAAACCAACAAAACCTCCTCGAGATGAGCAAAGGTGACGAGAATCACAACTCTCGCTCCCGCAGTACCATAGCGGATATGGCAAGCAGCCAGCCCCGCAAGAGCCCCCACAACGCAGGCGCTCCCCGGACAAGCGCCCGCCTATGAGCTTTACCCCCCTCAACGACTCAGTAACGAACATATTCCACCTCATCAGAGAGAAGGGGTACCGCGTCAACTGGTCGGCGCCAGTAAGAGCCCTAATGCACATGCGCGATCACAGAAAGCAGTGCGATTTTCACTGGGAGCCAGGCCATATGACAAAAGATTGCTTCAACTTGCGCGTGGAAATAGAGGGACTCATTAGAAGAGGATACCTGGCGAAATACATAAAGGGGGAAGAAGAGCGGAAAGACCATCAAAACATCCCACCACCGTCTTCCCAGGCAGACTGCAACGAGACAACGGGGTCTTACATCGTCCGCAAAGAAATAGGGGTCGTCACAATCGAAGGGGACAGACCAAAGAAAAAGATAAAGCGAGACCGCGCGGTGGAATGCGCAACAACATGCGCTACTACAAAGTGCGATATGAGCTTCGGCAATTCAGAGCTCCCGCGAGGGGTAGCGTCAGAGGAGCCACTAACCTTAACGACGCTCATCGCCGCGTGCAAAGTACACCGCCTACTCATAGACGGAGGAAGCGCGGTAGACGTTTTGTTCAAGCGCACATTGGATCAAATGGACATAGACCCGCCGTCTGATCCAACGGGCGCAAGGCAACTTAGTGGGATTCTCCGGAACAAGAGTCATGGTCATTGGGGAAGTTACACTACTAGTCATAATCGGGGACGACGAGCCGCGCATATCAAAGCAAGTCCAGTTCATTATGGTAGACTGTGATTCACCACACAATGGCATATTAGGCCGCCCATTCTTGGCCAAATTCATGGCACTAGCATCCACATGCCACCAAAAACTCAAATTTCCCAACAAGGCGGGAACTGGAGAGTCGCGCGGCTCACCATGGTCCGAGGGCAAACAACAAATCCCACACCCCATCGCACCACCACGACAGACAAACATCATCGACACCCGCGCCGACGACCCCTTCCCAGAGTCAATGGACTCCGACTTCGAGGTCGCGCTGAATCCGGAAGAGCCAAGCAAAAAAGTGCGCATCTCTACCCACGTCCCGGGAGACATGATCGAGCCGTTGGTAAAACTGCTACAAGAGTACCAAGAACTCTTCGCCTTGTGCTCAAAAGATATGCCAGGAGTGCCAAGGCATGTGGCGCAACATTGTCTCGCGATACCAAACACCGCAGAACCCCGACAACAGGCACGACGCACGTTCACGGGCGATAAGTTGAAGGCTATAGAAGAAGAGGTGGAGCAGCTACTCGCCGCCGGTCTCATCCGAGCAGTAAAATACCCAAAGTGGTTGGCAAATGTAGTCATGGTGAAAAAGGCTTCAGGTGCATGGAGAATGTGCGTAGACTACACCACCATCAACAAAGTATGCCCGGGAGACCCATACCCCCTTTCGCGCATCGACCAACTAATCGAGCGACATCCAACCACGAAACATTATCGTTCCTAGATATGTTTTCAGGTTACCACCAGATCCCAATGAGTCGCGAAGATGAGGAGAAGACCGCCTTCATGATGTCATTCGGCAATTTCTGTTTCACGGGAATGCCATTCGGCCTAAAGAACGTGGGTGCCACATACCAGCGGATGATCGATATAGTCTTCTCACCCCAGATCGGGCGCAACATTGAGGCCTACATGGATGACCTCATCGTCAAGACAAAGAGTGGGGGCTCCCATTTGGAAGACCTTTGCGAAACATTTGAGGCATTATGCAGAAACAGCCTCAGACTCAACCCTCTGAAGTGTTTCTTCGGCGCGGAAGCAGGAAAATTTCTCGGATTCATGATAACAAAATGCGGAATTGAGGTCGACCCCAAGAAAATTACAGCAGTACAAAAACTGCGCGCTCCAAGAAGTGCCACTGAAGTACAATCGTTGAACGGCAAGCTAGCCGCCTTAGGACGATTCATCCCAAGATCCGCCAATAAATGCGCTCCATTCTTCCAAACCTTGAAGAACGGCGCCTGATTCAAGTGGACCCCGGAGTGCGAAGCCGCATTCAACGAGCTCAAATTTTATTTGGTATCGCCCCCTGTATTGACTGCTCCTGGGCTTAATGAAAAGCTATTTCTGTACTTGTCTCTGTCCGCAAGAGCTGTTAGCGCAGTGTTAATCTCGCGCAAAGATGCGCAAACAGAAAGGCCAATCTACTACACATCGTGAACACTAGCAAGCGCGGAAACAAGATACTCCCCGATCGAGAAGGCCACCTTGGCACTAGTGAATGCATCACAGAAATTGCGCCCCTACTTCCAATCACACGCGATCACAGTGCTCACGAACCTGCCGCTCAAAAAAATTCTAAGCTCGATGGAAGTGCCAGGGCGAATGACAAAATGGGCAGCTGAGTTATTAGAATACGACATACAATATGCACCAAGGCCGGCAATCAAGGCCCAAGTCCTCGCCGACTTCGTCGCGGGAGGACTAACATTGTGCGGTAAACCTGATGAAGTGTGGGAAGTCTACGTCGACGACGCTGCCAGCAAGCACGGAGCGGGGCAGGCGTTGTCGTGAAAATTCCCACGGGAGCTATTCACGAAATCGCCATTCACTTCAGAACTCTTAAAACCAACAACGCCTCGGAATACGAAGCAATACTTGTAGGACTAACGCCTGCCAGAGACCTAGGCGCAAGAGCGGTACGGATTCTTTCCGACTCCGCCATTGCTGTCAACC